GGGAGGCAGCAGATGGGACAATTTGCTACTGCTTTTCAAATGCCTTTCAGCTGCTCACCAGCCTGCTGTGCCCCAAGGCGACCTCATGTAGGTTGTAAGGATAAAGAAAGCCAAATTCCTTCTGGGAGATGATGCTGAATCCCAACACGGTCCAGCTAAGCCCTCAAATGGGGCGGGGGGACACGACCCACTTTGCTATAAACTCGGCAGAAACAGGAGCTCTTGCATTTGCTGTTTAAGACAATTTAATAAGGAACAAAAGATGTCAGGAAGATTCAAGCTTAGGTTTGAAACAAGCCTTTATTAAATCTCCTGAGCATTCACACCCGTGTTTCCTCGGCTGCAGCAGCAACGTTCAGTCGGATTCTGGGTGTAACAAGTGATATCTTAAGATTAAAGATATGTACAGTGCTTGGACAGAGCTAAGTGGAGACGGCAGGACAAGGACATTGGTCCTCCAAGCACACGTAGATGGTCTCTGTGCTGGAGCAGTGCAGGGCGGCACATACAGGGCTGCCTTGATGGAGGGTGTGGATGGAGGGAAGGATTCAGGTCTGTGCTTGTCCAGACCTTGTGTCTGGCCCCAGCCATAAGCATGGGACAGGAGGTGACCGGGTGGGTGAGAACGCTGCCCAGTGGCACAACCATGTAGCAGACCCCAGAGAATCCACAAGGGGAGAGCAATGGTGTGATGTCCCACAAGGGGAAGAGCTGTCTCTGCCAGGCTGGCCCCAGCAGACCCCAGTGTACTGAGACAAGGAGGCACAAAAGTACAAAATGTAATCAGTTCTAAGTAATGTTAAGGTTGATGGCTTTGTAATGGAAAATAACTGTGGTGCTTGGTTCAGGTCCTCAGGACCTTAGCACAAAAGGTGTGAGAAAAGCAGAACAGAAAAGCAGGAGCTGGGGATGGGAGTATCTGGGACTATCAGATGTCCAGGGTGGGCACAGGTAAGCTAACTGCTAAGGAAAAGGACAGGATGATTGCTCTGTTTGTGGTGTTAATAAACCCATTAAGCTGGTGAATCCACAAAGGGAGAGCGATGGTGTGATGTCCCACAAGGGGAAGAGCTGCCTCTGCCAGGCTGGCCCCAGCAGACCCCAGTGTACCCACTGCAGGCTGGGGTTTCCTTACCTGGGGCTTCCCTGATGCTTAATGCAAAAGCTTTTCCCTTGGGGACTGCTCCTAAATGCCTGTGGAGTCTCTGATGTCTGGTAAGGAAAACACCCCCAAGGTGGCCTTTTCCTCAGCAGAGTCATTACTTCTGTCTCTCACTCCTCTGCCAGGCTGAGGATTCTCATCACCCCTGTCAGGACATAATTCTCTTCCGATTCCTATTATTATGTCAAGTTTGGTTCAGCTCGCCTGCGAAGGTATAAAATGACAAGGGAAGACACGCTGCTTGTGTCGGGCACGGGGCGTGCAATTGCATAAAGCTCTTTTCCTCAGGAAAGCAGGCTTACAGAAGTCAAAATACCCTTTTCCTAGTGTTTCTGGGGAGCTGCGTTCCCTCAGCCCATCGCTGCTGAGCGATGGCAGCTCTCCAGCAGCATCCCCTCTGGGGACGCTTGCCCATGCTCTTGGAACCTCAGAACCCCTCCCAGGAGAAGCCTGCGATGAATGACCCATCCTTGAGTCGCCAAGAAGTCCATTGAGTCACAATGACCAAAGCCAGCCCTAAACTTCTCACCATGTGGTGGAGATGCCCTCACACCAGGGGGTTAAATGGGTTTTAGCAACAGGATAATTCTTCCTCTCCTCCCCTGCCAAATAACCTCTGTGGGGTGCAGAGCTCAGGGCTTTCAGGGCTTGGCAGCATCTCTCTTTTGAGGGCTCACCAGTTCACGGGTATCTCCGTCCCTTCCCGGGATGCACCGATGTCCCTGCTCATGTGCAGCTTGGCACTTGCCACCTGCCAGGCAAGAAGGAAAAGCAGAAGAAGAACTGCTTTAGAGGGTTAACCCCAGGGGAGCAGCGTCCATCCTTTGTCACCCTCCTGTCTCTGTAAGCAAGTGCTGGGGCTGGAGGAGGGATCCTGAGCGCCTGGATCCTTCTTGACTCTGCAACAAACTAGAATGAAATATTAAATGCTTTCTCTCCTTTTTAGCGTGCCTTATGCCTTATTTATGGCTCTCATTGAAGGCAGGGAGCCAGGGCAGGGACGTGGGCAGAATAATGCACTGGCTAAAGGTGAGGCAGGGAAATGATGGGTGAGGATAACTTCTCGTAGCAAAGCCAGGGCCGTGCTGGGGGGAGCAGGACAGGGGCCTGTCAGGGGTGGGGAGCATCATGGCTCAGGGCAAAGCGCACCTTGGGAGTTATAATAGAGAAAGCTTGAAGAAAAAGCAGGGATCTGGTGCTAAGTGAGGGCTGGGAGCTGAGAGCAGGACCCTGGTCAGGCTGTGCCTGGGCATGAGAGCATGAGCGGCAGTGTCCTGCAGGGTACCAGGGCACCGAGTGGAAGGTGATGGATGAGGACTGATGTGTGGAGGACAGCTCCTATGGGCTGCTTGGCCACTGTGGAGGGGTTGACAAAGCAACTGCAAGGAAAACTCTCTCCTTGAGCACTTGGAGGCTTTGCTTTTCTCACCCCATCCTCGCTGTCTGGGTTGCAGGGCTGAAGTTGAGCAAATGGAGAAGGGTGATGGTTGGGGTGAAGGTGTTGAGCTCCTCCGCTGCCTGAGGATCCACCCCTGAACCCAGTGTGCAGCTCATCTAAAGCCTACAAGCTATGTGGGGAGAAAAAACAAGTATCTCTTCTGGAGCACTTAGCAGCTTGCAGTCGCATGTGCTGCTTCCCCCTAACACAGGAAGGCAAGCACACAAACACGAGCCCTCGCTTCCTCTGGTGTAAAGCAGCCTCCTCTCCCAGGGAAGGAAAGCAATGAAACTACATCAGCATCCTCCACAAAACACCCGAATGCCCAAAGCAGCCAAGATCCAGCTCAGAAATAGAGCTCCAGTGCGTGAGGTGCTTTGATACCGCAGTGTGTGCGTGTGCTTGTGCACGGGAGCTCTGAGCGCGGAGTGGTTGTGTGCACCCTTTATAACTGCACGTGAGCGCTGGGCTTCCCCTAAAGGCATGGAAAGGGACCACACTTCTCCTTAGCATGCCAAGAGGTTGGAAAGCTAGAAATGGGAATTTCCCCCAATGGGAATGGTGCTCCACAGTGCAGGTCGTGCAGATGCTCTGTGCAGAAACCCTACTGGCTGAGCTCAGTGCCTCCGAGCAGATGTGGCTCATCCTACCACACCATCACTCACCCGCCTCACAGATGTCTTTGCTTAATAAGCAGCTTTTAGCCTTGTGCTGTGGGTCATCCCAGGTCTGAGTGCTTCAAAAATGGAATGGACCATGTAGGCCCGCACAAGCCAAAGGGATTTGCTGGCACTGGGGAGCTCCAGTCCAGTGCTTGACTGGGAGGTGGGGTTTTGGGGGCCTTTTAAAGTCTCTTTGAAACCTGGGATGAACAGCAGGGTTGATGCATGTTATATCCCTCGCTTTCCCTCCAGGAAACCCCATCTCAGGGCTTTGGATGCTGCAGCCCCAGCATTCCCTCAGTGTGGTGGAGGATCTGTGCAGGAGGTGGTGTGAGAGCCCCCAGACTCATGCACGCGGGATGCTTCAGTGCCAAGAGCTGGTGTTTTTCAGACAAGAGACTTTGAAAGGGAACGAGCATCCTACCTCTGACATCTCCACTGAGCCATATTATTAGTTTTGGCAATTAAATAGAAACCTGTTTGCAGGTGACAATGCTGTAAAAATAAGTAGGTACCAGTGCCAACATCATGAAAATCAGGCAGGAGAGCAGAGCTCAGGCAGCACACATAATCTGTGGGGAAATAAGTCTGTGAATAATGAATGTGCACTGGAAAAGTAAAATACATTATTGTGGGAAAGATAAGTCTATTAAAGCCTTGCTGCAGAGCCTGTGCTAGGGGTGCCCAAGAGATTACTGGGTTCTCTGCTCCGGGTGCAGCTCTCTCCTTCACATGCTCCGACCTCAGCATCCAATGCAGCGTCTCTGCAAGGTAACACCCTCCTTTTTAATCTCCTTGCACCTCCATGCAGGGCTGAGCTGACCCGAGATGCCCGGAGCAAGAGGAGGCAGTGAGGGCTTCAGTGTTGCTTTTCCATCGTGGTTTAAAGGTATTAGAGAAGGGCAAGGTGCAGGGCCTGGAGCACAAGTGGGATGGGGAACGGCTGAGGGAAGTCTGGAGAAGAGAGGTTCCTACAAGTGCCTGAGAGGAGGATGGAGCCAGGAGGGGCTGGGCTCTGCTCCCAAGGAACAAGGGATGGGACAAGAGGAGACGGCCTCAGGCTGCACCAGGGCAGGTTTAGATGGAGCTGAGGAACAATTCCTGCCCCAGAGGGTGCTCAGGCATTGGAACAGGCTGCCCAGGGCAGGGCTGCAGTCACCGTCCCTGCAAGTGTTCACACAGCGTGGAGAGGAGGCCTCAGTGCCATGGGTTAGGGGTGCTGGGCAATGGTTGGACTGGATGAGCTTAAAGGGCTTTTCCAACCCAGCTGATTCCATGATTCTGTGGCCTCTGTGGCTCTGGGAAGAGCCTGTGTTGTTCTGCACTGACCTGAAATGATTTGTTAGCAGTCGGCTCAGCCGTGGCAGGGGACCTTGTCTGCTCCCATTATGGCCCCTTCTGATCTGAGCTTGGTTTCCCTGTTGTTTTCCCCAAAAGAAAAGGGTTTTTGTTTGTGCTTCTCCTTCAGCGGAAGGGAAGTTCCAAAGGAGCAGTCACTTTGCATCACGATCTTGCCCTTCCATACAGGCTGCTGTGCTTCGGGCGGATATTGCACGTTTCTCTTTTAACTTCTCCAGGATGTGACTTGGGCAAAGCAAGGTGCAATGAGCTGTGGGGCCACCCCTGAGTGCCCTCCCGTTGTGGCTCATGGGGCCCTGGGCAGCTGCTGGCTCTGGCCATTGAGGGAAGGTTTCTTTGTTTGATATTCAAAGAGTAAGAATTGCTTCTTTTAATGCAGGTGCTTTCTCTATCCAGTGGAGGATGGAGGATCCATCACCTCACCTTGCCCAAACCCAGGCAGGACGCAGCGATGAAGCCACCCCAGGGGACACCCAGACCTGGTTTCATGGTGACTCCAGTCCTGGAAAACCATTCCAGATCCCAGTTCATGCTGGTGAGCTCAATCCCCTCTGAGGAGGGTGGGCACAGCTTCAGGAGGGATGAGGGGCTGCATTGACCACGGAAGCTCCCCAGGTTGATTCTTCACTACATGCTGGCTGGCAATGGAAGTTCTGCTTTTGGAGGCATTGCCTGAAAATGAGGGGGGCAAAACCACGGTGGAGGGGGAATAAGTATGAATTGAGCATGGGGAACTTCACAGGAAAGACACAAAGGGTAAGGACTTACTGCAGGGAGTGGAAAGGCGCCCTTGATGCCTTCTGCTTTGAAGATGCGATTGGAGACTTGATGGGTTCGGTTTGCTTTGGGTTGGTTTTTCTATAGGATGGGGCTTTTCTTTCCTTCCAGGAGGATATTTTTAACCTTCATCCGCTTTTTCCAAGGAGGTGGCAGCTGGGAACATTTCGGTTTATCTTTAAACCCTTTTGGAGGACAGGGACAGGAAGGCGATGCCTGCGACTGGGGCAGCTCTGGCGTGAAGGATGCCAGCTTGGTTGGGTGGGTGTTTCTGATGGTGAAAGCCTGGGTAACTGGGCTCTTAAAAGCCACATGCAGGGAGGTGGGTATTGATTTCCAAGCAGAAAAACCCATCTGCACCCTGCTCTAGAGCCATTTATCCAGCCATGAGTTTCCCCTGCCGTTTCCTCCTCAGCAAATGTCTATGAATCTGAATGCCTAAAACCCTAGGGCTTTTGGGGGAATAATCCCAGACCTGATTGTTTCTCCCCGTCCCAAGCCCACCCTGATGGTGCATCACTCCATGGGGTGCAAAGCAGCACCATGCCCAGGTAGCATCACCCTTGGTGAGCACGGCTCTGATCAGGGTTGTCTCTGTGGCAGAGAAACCTGCTTTGGGATGGTCATGTAATCATCAGGGAAGGGCAGGATGGCCCTTACTGGGCATGGGAGCCCTCTGAGCATCATTCCCTTGCTCAGATCTGCATCGAAGGAGCTCAAGGATGTTGTTGTAAAGGAGCCTGGGGTGTTGCACCCCACCACAGCACTCCGTGCCTGCACTGTGGCAGGGGGAAGCCTGGGTTTGCTCTGTCCCAGTGCGATGCTCACAGTCTCTATGGCAGAGCCACATCTTCCCCTCCTTCATGAGCTGCCACCCTCAGGGAGAGGCACTGGGAAGGTTTCTGCAGCAGAGAGGAAACCTCAGTTTTGTGATTGAAGAATGAATTTGATGTGTGATTTGGGGAATTGCGGGGGGGGGGGGGGTATGTGTGGAGGAAATGGCAGCTAGGATTATTGGGGGTAAAATAACATCAATAACGAGAGAGAGCAAGAAGGGAATTAGCTGGGGCTGCCTGTCAGCTTGCTGATTTAAGATTCACTTTGAAAACCTATTCCCCTTCAGGGGAAACACGTGCCTGCCCCATCGGCAGCCAAGCCAGCATCCTGCTCCCTGGGGGAGGCATCTGGGCAGGGAAGTAAATGATTGCAGGAGCTGCCGGTGTGTTTACAGCAAATCGGGGTTTTGCAGTGCTGAATCACTTGGGGAGAAGAGCCAGGCTGGCAGTGCCTGCTCCCCCATCGCATCCGAACACATGGAGTGCAGGGATGCAGGTTGCTCAGAGCTGGGAGCATGGCCAGGGCTTGGCGTGGTCACAGGGAAGATGCCACAGGGAGTCCCATGGAGAGGACCGGCCTTGGTGTGGGAATATGGGCACATCCCCCTGGGAAGAGCTTCAAAGGTTCTCTCTGCTTAAATACCTTTCCTCCTTATAGCCTCTGCTCTGCATTTCCATTTTTCAAACACCTTATAATCACACTAATTAATACGTTCTGGGATAATGCTTCCTGGCTTCCATCAAATTCAAATCAGCATTTATTAGCATATTGCCATGTCTGTGTTGTTTGTTCAAGTCCAGCATCACCTTGTACCTCATTATGACCCAGAACTATTGCAGATCTGAACTGTGCTGGGGAGCAGTGAGCTGCCATCCGTTTTCCTCCCAGTTTGGGTACCAGAGGAGCATCTTGCTAGCACCGTGCCCACATTCAGCTGCAGCCACCAGTTCATAGTCTATATTCACCCTCCTGTTCTCTTCTTGCCTTCCCTCCCCTTGTGTCAGCAGCAGTGATGGGGTGAGCTGGGACGGGACAGGCTGTTACTCCCAAAGCCCATTTATATCACAGTGGAGCATGAAGCAGCTCAGGCACCCTCCTGCTCTGTCTTTGTGAAGGCCCAGGGAGAAGGAGGGTGTCTGGAGGGAGTCATGGCAGGCTCTGCCCTGGGGAAGGGCTCTGGGGTGTGAGTCCATCAGACTTGGGGGTGAGGCTGCATCCCGCTCCCTCCTGCCATCTCTCACAGGAGGAACATGCATGTTTAACCCCTTTGACAGCAGATTTCTGTGCCCGGGGAGGTGAGAAGCTTTGGGAGCTTTACAACATAAATCACTCAACATTTTGGCTTTTAGGTTTGGGGTCCAAAGCCACCCCCCCAACACTCTGTCCCCTCCCTCCATCCCACTGACAAGCACAGCGAAGGTGCAACAGGGGTAACTGAGGAAGCTTTTTAGCACATTTACTCGTGTTCCCTGCGGAAATCCCTGCTGAAGAGCAAAGCCCTCCCTCCCCTCCCCTTGCCTGCTCCCAGCGATAGCAATAGCCGCAATCGCCGTGATCGATTCTTGGTGTCAGCGCTGGCCCCCGTGTGCCGGGGCAGGTCAGGCATCCGCGCCCCCAGCGCCGGCTGGGGTGAGGAGGAGAAGTCACCCAGATAACGATCAGAGCCATTCATCATGATTAGAAGTGCCAGGGCGGGTTGGAGCAAACACACCCGAGCTCATCTCGCTGTCGAATCGAGGTGCCCCGGGGCTGAGCCCATCCGTGCTCCACATCAGGCTGCTCTGCATGGGATGGGGGGGATGTGATGTGCCCCCTGGGAAGGGGCCGAGAGGCTGGGAATCAATGGGGGGGGGGGGGAAGGTTGGTTTGTTTTCTGCTGAAGTTTAGGGTTTTTTTAAAAGATCTATATATTTGAGCTGTGCCCTTGTGCAACAATCACTGTCTCCCTCTTCCTCTCTATCCCTACAGCAGCAGCTCCAGGACCACCATCACCTCTCACTACCTGATGCAGAAGCCTCCAGCAGGGCCAGCAGGCAGCATGGGCTGCAGCCTCACACCGAGGTTAGCACTGCCCTGATATTCTTCCAGCAGTGGTTGTTTGCACAGAACATCTCAGAGACTTTTCCTTTTGCCCCCCCCCTCCATCACATCATGTTCTCCTGAAAACATTCCCAAAACATTTGTGGGGCCTTTTTCCAGCTCTCTGGCCAGTTAAAAGGGCAAAAATTGATCTAACTCCACTGGCTGCTCGGTGCATGAGGACTCTGCTGCTGTTTTAGCTGTATCAGCTTGGGAAATGGATCCTTCAATCAGTTTAACCCCAAGGCTTGATGTAATTTCACTACTGCCTTCTCTCTGAGGTGCTTTTACAGCTGCTCTCTCTAAGTATTTACAGGCAAGGAGAGCAGCAAAGTGAGAGGAGACTTGGCTCAGTTTGTCCCCATCGTGAGCAGCAGCTCAGGGGTTGGCACATGGGGCTGTTCCCATGGTGGCACCCATCCTGCTCACTGTCAGGTCGAGGAGCTTATTTCAACACCAGCAAAAACCTGAAGCCCTGGCAGGAACTATGGCATTTCCTGGGCCTTAAGGCCATTCCTTTGGGTGGGAATTGAAATTGCTGTGGGTGCAGCTCCTCGCAGGGATGCTCTCTGACCTCCACTACCCTTTCTGTCCCTCCAGTCCTCTCTTTAAGGTCCAACATCAAGTATCCAGAGGGGAAAAACCACCCTGGCGATGAGGGGAAGTGCAAACCAGGTTGTGATGCTGCAGGAGAAGGCACAGGCATGCCCATGGTGAGATCTCCACGTGCTGCAGAGCTGATGCTTTTCTAAGGTCAGTTTATAATTGAGTTAGATGTTGTCTCTGTCTCTGTTCATAAAAACTATTCTTGGACAGGCCTCTGAAGCTGAAACTGCCATAAATGCTATGTTACATCTTTAAACAAATCAGTCAAGTGCAGAGCAGGCCACAGAGTTAGGGATACGCTTAAATCTGGAGTCAGTGAGGCAGAAGGACCTGCTTGAAGTTAAGCATGAGCTTAACTGCTCTTTGGGATGGCCCAAGTTTGCTGAATCCAGCCCTGCAGAGAGCTTTTTTAATCTAGTTTGTTGCACATTGTGTGTAACAGGCAACTTCTTTCCTCTGAACCAACAAGTAATTATTAGCAATGTTCTTTAGCAGTAGCATAAGAGACACCGGTGGTGCTCTGCGGTGGTGTCTGTTCCAGCTGTACTTGCAAGGTCACTGGCATTTTGCTCCCTATATATAAGTGGTCAACTAAGGCAGAACGGGGGCTGCGGTTCAGACACCTCTTTTAGAGCCATCTCCCACAGAGGTGTGTTGGAGTGGGACCAACACAGCAGCCAGAAACCCAAGAGGGGCCAGAGCATCATCCCTCTCCTCCATCGCTTGTCCTGCACTCCTGGGCTGCTCCTGTTGGTAACTCCAGCAGTGTCCCAGGTCTGAGGGCAGTGTTGTGGTGTTGTCTGGGGATGCTCAGGCAGCAGGGGTGTAGCAGAGCCAATGTCCCACCTGGGGCTGCAATGACAGCCTCATCCTTCACCACTGGGGATGTTCATCCTCAGTTGCCTTTAACCTGAGCTCCATCCAGCTTCTCTTTCCCTGGGTGAAACCCACGTCAGACCCACCCCGTGTCCACACAAGACTCTGAGTCTCTAAATGCTTTTTATAACCTACTTTTTCTCCCACCCTGCAGCTAACTGAGGTCAATTTACCCACATGGCCCCAGCACTACCGTGATCTTCTCCTGAGCCTGCTTTTGGGTTCTCACATGTCGTGCCCAACTCTTCCAGTCATTTTACAGTAGCCTTGTAAGGACCGAAGTGCTCCAGATTCAGGTGGCAGAGATTGGAAATGCGTGGAGAGCAACAGAAAACTTGTCCTGTGATTTTGTAGGTCTTCTTTCATCCCATACCCGAAAGGCACAAGGGATGCCCACCAAACTGATGTGGTGGGACAGTTTGAGCAGCACTAAGGCTTGTCTGTCCATTCCTCCATGCATTGCATCTCTGCCTATAGAGACGCTGAGGCAGGGCCACTTCTTGCCTTGACCATGCAGCTGAAGGGATGGTTGTTAGTGCGGTAAATGAAATTCATTAATCAAGGGGGAGAGAAAAACCTGAAGGGAAAAGCGTCCATTCATCCACTCACAGACAGGTCTAATGGTGCTTTTGTTTGCCTGCATCTCCGTTTGTGTCTTGTCTCACAAATACACAGGCAGAAATTTCAGGACCGAGGCGAGTTGGAATATCCAGTAGAAGGAAGACAAAAACACCCCATCGCCACCTCTCTTTGCATCCTCCAAAGTGGGGAGGTTGCTAAGTGACAGCATTTCTGCTCTCACTAACTCACTGCAAGAACCTGAGCACTTAAAAGCAGGAGAATGGCTATTTAAGGACATGATAACTCGTGTTCTCTGGTAGCAACCAACAAGCTGTTTGTTCTGAGAGGACTGGGGGTATTTTCACCCAGAAGTTAAATTTGGAGGGGATGAGTAATGGATTCGGTGGGAATTCGGCCTTGTCTGCAATCACATGCTGGGACATGGACCATGCACAGGGACCTGCATGCACATACGGGGGGATTTTAACCCAATTTATGGCCATGGAGCCCAATGGGCAGAGCTTGGGGTGTGCGCTCAGTTTCGCTGCCCTTCGCAAGGAAGCAAAGCAGATCCCATCTCCTGTATCCCACAGGATACAAGTCCAGTGCCCATCCCCAGCAGCAGTATAAATACCCTCAGCTCAGCTTTCCTCGCTGCCAACTGGCTCCATTTATTTCTTCTGTTCCACTGTTGTTGGGCTTGCTATTCTGTGATCCCATTTAAAATCATCGATTTACCACAGAGTCCTCAATAAGCAATTTGGAGCAATTGAAGCTGTTATCTTGCTATAGATCACATGGTGCTGGGAGTGGGGGGAAAGGGGAAGAAGAGGAAAAATGAGAACAAAAACTGGCTGGAGCTCCCCACAGCCAGCCTGGATCGGTTCCGCTCTGCGTATCAGGAAGGGTGGGTGGTGCTTTGTGTGTTATGGTCCAGGAGGGGGAAAAGGGCCTTTGTTCCCTTTATTAGGATTTAACCCACATGAAGAGCGTGAGATGAGGCTGGGATGCAGGGGCTTTGAAAGGTGGGATGCTCCTGAGGGTCAGGGAAGGGGGAAGGAGCTGGATTTTCCTGCCATTGACTGGCCACAGCCACAATCACAGACAGGGCACTTGTGGGAAGCGTTGCACAGCCCCTGTGCACCATTGGTGTCGGTTCTTTTTCAGCTTGGGTGCAAGGGTTTCTCCACTCTCTGCTGGGGAGGAAGGTTTGGACCTGGGATGCCACATCCCCTCCTTCAGAAAAACACCTTTTTGGAAGCACTGAGGGGTTTGCTGGGGAAAGACAGAAGAATTCACAACCTGGTTACAGAGGAATTTGCCATCTCTGCACCAATGGGCTCTGAAACAAACTCACCCTGACTACATCAGGCAATTTGCAGGGCCATTGAGGAAGAGGCTAGGGCATCCCTGCACTGGCAGCTGTAGTTGTTAGCAACAGGTTTCCAGTAACTTCACAACCCCAGGAGGGTGCTTTTGGGTCTTCAGAGTTAGAGATGCCCCAGACCCAAAAGCACAAGGAGGGCAGGTTTTATGATGCCTGTGTCCTTTCAACCACAGCCGTTAGCTGGGAATCTAGTCATAAGAGCCCAAGGAAGCTCCCCTAGAGAGACTTTGCTTCCACACTGATGGATGGAGAGCTCTCTCCTGCTCATAACCCACAATGCAAAGCCTCAATACAAAATCAGGTAATAGAGAGAGGGCCTGGCAAACGTGGGTGCTGCAGTGATTTGAAGCAGATTGTGTTTGAGTGCGGAGAGCAAATAAACCCGTTCTAGAACTGAGAGCTGTGGGAAAGGTGGCTTTAAAACACACTGATGAAATGATTCAACTGCTTCCAAGGGGGTTTGGGAGCTGCTCTACGGGGGCAGAGATGTGCTGGAGCGTGCTTGTGCCCTGTTTGTATTCACATGGTGCAAGGCGATGCTGTCAGCTGTGGTGGGACCAGAAATGATGTTCTTGGTGAAATGGCACTGAACTGGTTGATGCCACTCCTGGAAACCCCTGGCTTGTCTCTCTCACGCCTCCAAAGCTTTCCAAGCCCTTAACTTCTGCTTAGCCTGGCTGAAATGGAGATGACCTGGGAGGCTTCTCATGTGGGCTCCTACTCACCAAGCAAGCGCTGCTGGGTCTGTGTGGTTAACCAGTGCAGTGCCCAGTGTGGTCCCAACCAGACAAAACCCAGCAAAGTACCAGAAGGAAATAGCTCAGCAACAATAAGCTTGTGGGTTGTAAAAATCCCCCAGGGCCCAGTGTTTCTGGAGGGGGAGAGGAAGAGCTCAATGGCAGTGTTGTTATGTGCAGCCAGGCAGCTTTCCCCATGCTGCAGGACCTGCTGCCTCTCCATCCCTCCGAGCCATGCTGAGAGATCGAGTCCTTGAAAGCTTCTGCAGATGGGATCATTTCCGTGCTCCAGGGCTTCATTCTGGCTTCAGGGATGCTCCTTCATCCTCCTTCTGCAAAGCACCCTGAGGCCCTTTGCATGCAACCCCCCCCCAGCCCCCCAGGCATTTTGGCATCTCTAGCTGTTGGTAGAGCTGCACCAAGGCCAACCCCCCTGGGGACCCCCACAGACTCAATATCTCCTTCTCAGCTGTGCCAATGACAGATTTATTGGGGGTTTTTCTTCTTCCCAAGATCTGGAGTGGCTCAGGGAGTAAAAAACCTGACTTTCCAGAGCCATCATCTGTGCTCCTGCTCTGCTCCAGTCAAAAGCGAAAGGGCTTGGGTTGATTTCCAGCTCTTTAAGGCAAAAAATAAATGCATGCAATCAAAGGATGTGTCAGAGGGGAATAGACTTCAGATCAAAAGATGGAAGCGGCTCATGGCGAGCCAAGAAAACGTGTCAAAAGGAAAGATGTTCATTTCTGAACGTGAGGGTTTGGGGTCCTTTTTCTCCTGGAGTGTCTTAGTGTCTCCATGAGCAGGGACTCAGAGCAAAGGCCTGGGGTGCAGCAGACCCATCACTCTGGAATAGCCAAAGTGATGCTTTCCCCAGCATCCCTGCCACTGCCTGCTCCTATGTATGTGACGCTGCAGGATGTGTCCTGGGAAGCTGAACTCACGCAGCAGGATGGGAGCACTGATGAAGAGCCTCAATGGAGCAGGTCATTTAGGTGGGACAGGCTCAGCCTCAAGCCCCTGGGCTCAGCCTGGGACACTGGGGTGACACCACCATGGTCCCCAATCCTCTCCAGCCCCTCTCCCCCTCCAGGCAGCATTCACTTGGGCAGCATTCAGCTCCTCACACCTCCAGGCCAGTTTTGTGCTTCACTGTTTGGAAGCAGTCACCTTTTGGGGTTTAAATGGCACCGAGACAAGCCGTATCCAGCAATGAATGGGGAGTAGTGAAGAGCCCTTTCCAAGGGGGTTGTGTTTTGAGGGGTTTTATTGTTGGTTTGGGTTTCTTCTCCCTGCTTATTTATCTGTCAGCATTTGCTCAGCCTCATCCCAAGAAACAGCAGTGTTCAGCAGGTCCCGTGTAGGCAACAGGGGTGGGGAGAGGGGAACAGACTGACTCCTCATGGAGCTGCCTCTGCTTTTAGATGTTTCTGAACCTTCTGGGTGCATGCCCAGAGTGGCTGGGAGGAATTAGGATCAGCAATACGGGGCAGGATGGGGGTGGGCACATGAAGAAGAGCCACAACCCTTAGCAGCCACTAGAGAATCCACGGTGACACTGAGACCCACCCATGGACCCTGCAGAGGTGATGATGGGCGCAGGCGAGCTGGAGCCAGCTCTCACCGACTGCTTCTCCGTGTCTCCCAGGCCAGCTCCATAAACCAGAGGTTGGATTACACTGATCCAGACACAGCATTGTTCCCCCTACACTACAGATACAACCTCGAGAATCCTCCTCGCTCACTGAGTACTCCCAGGACCGTTTACTAGCAGCTGGCAGCAAGACGTGAGTGCAGATTATTCCTCATTGTGTTTAACTGTGTGTGCGGGAGAGCCTGGAAGAGCAGCATCCTTAGGTACCAGACCTAAACCGGGATGATGCTGTTTATTAATGCTCAGCAGGGCCCTGCCAAGTGAAATGTATTTCAGTGTTGAAACAGAAAGCGACAGGCTCCCAAGAACGAGCACAGTTACTTACAGGACATTGATCAGTGCAGAGCTTTTGCTGGCTCAGCAGTTTGAAGCCCAGGTTTTCATCAGCAGAGTGCTTAACCCTTGGCTAATTGGATTTGCCGTCGTTAGTGTGATCTATGCTGCCTCCAATTACTCTTTGCACAGCCTCAGCTGGGCACCCACCACTTGCAACGGGGACAGGGAGCCAAGAGACCTGAACCCCTGCAAGGACAGGGAGGGCAAAGGCGTCCTGCTGTGTTGGGACATCAGCTCCCTGGGGAGCTGCCCGAGCTGAGGAAGGAGTTTGGTTGCTCTGAGGGGGTCCTAAATGGCACCTTGCAAAGGACAGAATTATCTCCTGTCAACCCAAGGAAGAGGGACAGAGG